TAATTTTAATATTGTCAGGTATGTTTAATAGTTTATTAGTTGTGACAGTAAAAATAGGTTATTACAAAGGGCTTTAAAACAAATTTTGATCATCATCAAAAAGGGGGAGATTGTTGACTATACATGAGTATGATGCCTGAAGACTTTGATGATGATTCTAGAGCAAAGGACTTGAGTCTTGAAGACTTATAAGCATTTGTATTTACTTGTAATAACTTTGTTTTTATATTTTTGAGTCTGTAAAATTAGAGTCCAAAATAGTCAGCACATAGTTCTTCCTCTGAAAATTCATTTTTATCAAAACCACTCTGTAATAATCGATTATCACTCAGGATAATCGATTATCATGCTTTGAAACTTGTTTTCTAAAAACCTTGTTGGAATAATCGATTATTTGGGTTGATAATCAATTATCCCAGTTTGAAAGTTCTGGAATAATCGATTATCAAACCAGATAATCGATTATCCTAGTCCTGTTTTACTCCTCTGCGAAAATAGTTATGTAATAATCGATTATCACTTAAAATAATCAATTATCTACGTCTGTTATGAGTTTTGAATTTCAAATTTGGACCAATTTACCAAAACCCTATTCTCAATTCTTCTGTTTTCGAAATCTTCTATAGACCACAATCTCTCTACTTAAAGTTCTCTAAGGCTCTCTGCAAAATTAAAAATCTTTTTCATACAAAAGTTAAGAGTTGTGATTGCTAGAGAACTTTCTGTAGGGAAGAAAAAAGGACTTTTTGAAACCTAGTGTGGGCTAGAAGCAATAAGAATCACTGAATGAGACTCTTGGTGAATTGTGTGTTGTGTCGTCTCTAGGAAAAGCTGATGTTCATCCTTTGTGGATTCAAAGGAAGTGTTCATCTCTTGTGTGACTCAAGAGAGGTGTTTTCTAATCTTTATCTTTGTATTTGTAATCTATTTGAACTATGATTATAGTGACATCGTTAATCTTCTTTTAGAGTGATTAGCAACTAGACGTAGGGTCTTTTGATCCGAACCAGTATAAAACACTTGTGTAATCTTCTTATCCTTTCTCTCTTTACTTTACAAGTATTTTAATCGGTGAAATTTGAAAAAAAAATTAAAACCCTAATTTTTATAAGAAACCAATTCACCCCCTCTTGGTTTTGTTCGCAACCACAAATATTCCGCTGCGCGATTCTAACATTATTCACTACATTAATCTGACGACGCCCAAAGTTTGTCGATCTAGTAACATCCAATTTGTCTGAGACGCCGTTTTTGGTTTATTCTCAGACAAAAGCTAATGCAACTTTTTTTGATATATATAATCTTCAATCTGCATTTTCCAAAATCCGAAATCACTTTTATCGAACTTGTCACTTTTCACTATCATTGAACTTGTCATTCTTCACTTTCTTGTTTTCCCCCATTGCTCCCACTCACGTGAAACTTAAGCTCCTAATACAGATGTTAGGAGAACATAAAGGCCCTACAAGACGAAAGTAAATAACAAGAATACAAAGAATTTACGTGGTTCGATCAAAATGACTTAGGTTCACGACTACCAGATGACGAGATCTTGACCATTGATCTTGGGAGGCAAATAAATAATAAAAAATATAAAAGGAAAAAAGAAGATAAAAGAGTGAAAGAATAAAATTGTAGATATATACTTAAATATATTAAATGATCATTAAGTTTGAGGGGACAAAATCATAAATTATATGAGAGTTACAAAACCGAGGAGAGGCTGAGAGGATAAAATTGTAAATATACAAGTAAATATATTAAATGTTCATTAAATTTAGGAGGACCAAAATCATAAATTATATAGGAGTTACAAAACTTTGGGAGGACCATGACCCCGCTCCCAAGAAGATTCTGACGACTAGTAGTTCTCAAAGATAATGAAAAATTTAAGTTGATAACTAATCATTGTTTAGTATCATAAAAAAAATGGGAGATTGTTAGATAAACCCTCTTTAGGGTTGAATTGATTCAACAAATATTATTTCATCATCTTTTAAGTTAAATCATAATTTATTACATTAATATTATAGATGGTAAGAAGTTATATAGTAAAAGTGTCTTTTTCTCAAACAAACTTTACATCTACATGTTTATATAAGTATGTCACTAATAATAAACTTTAAAATCATATTGTAATCATATATGTTATAAGTTTTGTTAATAGATATAAATTTTTATCATTTGAGAAAAATAAATGTACTTTATGTGTCTATTTTTCAGTCTAATATATACCTTTAAAAATATAAAGGGCGTCAATAATGCTTTTGGCGTAAAAGTTAAGAAAGTCTTTCGAATAAAAGACATTTTAAAGACTCGCAGTACTTAACAAAGAATATGCAAAAGTATAAATGAGACGAATAGGTGAAATAAATTTATTTTTTATCACTTGACACAAGCAAAACATTAAGTATAGAGGAACAACTATCTTTCATCCATTCATATATAAAGAAAAGAAGAAAAAGAAAACAAATATATATATATATATATATATATATATATATATATATATATATATATATATATATATATATATATATATAAAGTGATATCTCTCTTAAGAAAAAAAAAACTTTTTTATTCTCTTTAACTTTTTACATAACTCTCTATTTTATCTAATATTGAGATAGTTATATGTAATTTTAATAATTTTAAACATTATTTTCGTCAAATTTAGAGTGAATAAGTTATTGTAAATTCTCTTACGAAAATTTTTAAATTAAAAGGGACTTTTTATTTAAAGAATATAAATGTTATAACAATTTAAAGATATTTATTACATAATATTTTGGGATTAATTTGTAAAGACTAATAAAAAGAATATTCATATTATAAATTAATATTAATAATAAAAAATACTCATTTTTTATTAATTGATAATACAGCTTAAATAAATAATTAAGAATTAAACGTAATTACTAATGTAAACAAATTAATATAAAAATTATTTTGTTATTTTTTTAATATCTATTGTTAAATTTGATTTGTGATTTGAATGTGTAAAAGCCTAAATTTAAATATAATTTGTTGATCATTTAATATTATATGAATATGAGTATGATAGTTTTTAATGCTCACATAATTGAAAAGAGTTTTTCAAAAGAAATTTTTTTATTAAAAACACAATTCAATATGTTTTCTTTATTTTATAGAAGGATGTACATTTCACTTTTTAGCATGCATTTTTTTCTTTTTTTGGTAGCTTTGTAAATTGTTCTTCAAGGAGATTCTTAACATGATACTTATATGTTTTTGTTTTACTTTTATTACTATTGCAAACCAAATTTTCCACAATAGAGTGGTTATTAGCGGGGATGATAATTAAATTTGTATTCGTGGGACCGATCCGTCCTCGTCCCAAGTTTGATGGGAAAAACGAGTTGATAGGGGTGAGGAGGGGTTCGGGTTTTCCCTCTTTTAAAAAGTCGGGAGTGGGGATGAGTAATGTAATCTCTACCCCGATCCGGTCTCCATCCCGCCTCGACTTTATATATAAATTTAAATTTTAAAATATTAATATTTTAAAAGTATTTATTTTTCTTTTTCTATTACATATAAGGTCATTTTTTATATTTCACCATTTTTACTTTTTTTTACCCACTTTTTAATTTTTTTGTCTTTTTTTTAATCTTTTATATCAATTAGTTTATTACATTATTCTCTTTCTCGTACCTTTCAGCTTTTTACATTTTCTTAATCTTTCCAATCAATTTATTTTCAATCTTTTCAACCAATTTGATGAGTACAAAGTTTTTTTTCTTCTTTATCCTTTTCTAAATATTTTACATAAATCTTAGTAGTAACTAATATTATTTTATTTATAATTTATATTTATTAGATTTTATTATGTCATATTTTTTTATCTTATTTTTTTTATTTGTCATATATCAAATTTTATCTTAATAAAATAATTATATTTTAAAAGATTACAAATAATTAATAATTTAAACTTTTATTACTTAGAACTAATTAAATAAGAATTAACTTATTAAATATTTTCTTATAAACTATATATTTTATATTTTTAAATGACAATTTAAAAATAAATTAACTTATATATGTAATCAAATATTTAAATATAGTATTATAATAATAATAATATAAGTATTCAAACGATTGAATGCAGTGTTATAATAATAATAATAATGTTATAAATATTCTATATATATATATATAAATAAAAAATAATTAAATATTTTTTACATACATATTTTAATATAAATATAATAAATTAAAATATATATTTAATTAATAATAATTACAAATTGTAAAATTATAAATATTTATTTATATATAAAAATACATAGTAAAATTAATTTATTATAAATATAATTATTTTTTTAAAAATAATATAGATTGAGGACGGATCAGTGAAATCCGAAATCAACAGAGATAAGGACGAAGACTTAATTTTTAATCCCGACAAGAATCGGAATGAGGACATGGATGATTAAAAAAGTTAGGGACAAGATCGGGAGGTAAAACCCGCTCTATGTCTTCTTAGCCTTAAATGAATTAAATTTAATAATATAATTATTTAAATTAATGTTCACTTATTTAAGACAAATAAATGAAAGATAAAGTTTTAAATTATAAAAAAATGTACAGTTAAAAGAATAAAAAAATAATTTTTATATTTAAGAAAAAAAAAAAAACCGTGAATAAAAAAAAAATAAAGATGATATAATATAAATATAAATATACAATAGATTTACATGTTAAACTAAATACAAACGAATAAAAAAAACAGCAAGATATATAATTTAGCCTATTGTTGACACTGAATTAAATTCCACGTTCACTCAGTACATGAAAAAACAAACATTTTTCGTAGTTTTCAATCCAGTTATCGTAAATAAATTAGCTCGCCTGAAGCGAGGCAATACGCATTTGGGTGGTCGCGAACTTGATTCAGTCGGAATCAGTCCCTAATCTTCCATCTCTCGCGGAAGCGATTCCGTTTAGGAGCGGTGGCGCGCCGTCGATTGAACCCCTAACCGATGGAATCACCGGGTAAGCTAAGCTGGATCCACCCGTTACATTTCCGATTGATCAATTTTCATTTGTCAACGAATTGGAGTTCGTTAATTTTCAGGTGCTTTGAGGGACACGTCAATTATCGTGGTGACGCTGGACTCGGATGAAGTTTACATTATTGCGAGCCTATGCACCAGGACGGACACTCAAGTAATATACGTCGATCCAACCACCGGCGCGCTTCGCTACGATGCCAGGCCAGGGTTCGGTCTGTTCAAGTCGCCGGGGGAAGCCTTGGATTTCGTCACCAGCGGATCGCGATTTGCGTGCAAGAGCAGGATTCTCGCGAGGGCGATATTAGGTTATGCCGCGTTTGGGAACGTGGGGATGCTCCTCGTCGCGACGAGATTAACCGCCAGTATTCCCATTATGCCGGGTGGTGGTTGTGTGTTCACGGTGGCGGAGAGCGCGTGGATCAGGATTCCGCTAAACAACGCAGTGGTGCAGGGGAAGGGAGAGGCCAAGAACGTGCAGGACTTGACGGAGCTTGATATTGATGGGAAGCATTACTTCTGCGAGACGAGGGATGTTACGCGCCCTTTTCCGAGCCGCTTCCAGATGAATCAACCTGATCAGGAGTTTGTTTGGAACGCGTGGTTTTCCGCGCCGTTTGTTGATATTGGCTTGCCGCGGCATTGCGTCACGCTACTGCAGGTTCTGTGATCTCTTCTGTTTACATTTGAGTGAATGTAGTATAACTTGATTTTGAAATATCAATTGTCTGTTGAACCCTGAGAATTGCAAGAAAGTACGAGGAAGTTGGATACTCCAAATTTTCTACTGAGTGAATTTAGTATAACTTGATATTAATATCTATTGCTTGTTGGATCTTGTGCATTGTGTGAAAGTAGGATACTCTGACTTCGGGAGTTCAAATATGATTTTTGTTACTCAAGGTTTTGAATTGTAGTGGTGACTGTTGTTTTGTCACGTTCCTAGCTGTTGTAGGAAATCGTAAACAAACATGGCCACAATTGTTGTTGTATTGCAGCTAATACATCCCACAAACCTTGACGATGTGGTTGAAATTACGGCTGCAGACTGGTTTTTGAAACCCTTGTTACCTGTGTTATCTTGCTAGAAAGATTTTGTTTGTGCAAATTGGTTGCCAAGTCAATTTGTTAGTATGGTGATGAATTTTTTGCAATAACGACTAAGGATGTAAATGAATGAATTTGCGGTTTGCTTCCTGAAAGATGGCATTTCTTGTGTTTGGCAACATGGGTTCATAAGAGCTTTTAGTGGACCCAGGCAACAAATAATCTCTTTATGAACGCAAAAATTGTGGTATATTTGTTTACATTTTGGAATTCAAATCCTCATATAATGAATCATGACGGTGCACATACGTTTGATGTGCCTTTGGCTGTTAGTTTGTCTTTGTTGGCTATTGGTTTTCTTTTCTACCTCCATGCTTGTTCGGGCTCAGTCTCAATTAATAATTATTTTTATAGCAAAGTTGTACCAAACAATAGTACATGCATTGAGCAATTAAGATGTAAAATTCACATGTGCATTCTTTTGTCTCACTTGGTCTTGATGTGTAGGGGTTTGCAGAATGTCGAAGTTTTGGAAGCTCGGGTCAACTAGAAGGTATTGTGGCACTAACTGCTCGTCGAAGTAGGCTTCACCCGGGTACTCGATACTTGGCGAGGGGGCTAAATTCATGTTTCAGTACAGGTGACCATAGTTATCATGCACTGTTAAACTTGCAATTTTCCATCTTATAGTGAATTGATTTACTGACCCATAAGAATAGCACTCTGGCTGCCTTTATAAGGAAATAATTTGTTTTAACTCAATTTTGTTTGATTATGATTTTCATACTTCATTATGTTAATTATGGTTTCAGTAGCTCTACCCATTTTTTATTTATTTAGAACCTTGTTTAGCTTCCGATTGATATGCATTAATATCTTCGTTAAATTTCCCAATTAGGGAAGTTTCACAAATCACCTATGTTAATCTAGTTCTTATTTTAGTGTTACTTGTGCTTGCTGTTTCCACCATTTGTTCATCATATATTCTGTTTTTCCATGACAATCATCATTTTGTGGGCCTTAGTATAACTACGTGTCAAATGTTTATTTGGTTCCATTTTACAGGAAATGAAGTGGAGTGTGAGCAACTTGTATGGGTTCCCAAACGATCTGGTCAAAGTGAACCTTTCAACACATATGTATGGCGAAGAGGCACTATTCCTATCTGGTGGGGTGCAGAACTGAAAATCACAGCTGCAGAAGCTGAAATTTATGTTTCAGATTGTGATCCTTATAAAGGAAGTGTACAGTATTATGGAAGACTGAGTAAGAGATATGATGCTCGAAATCTAGAACTACGTGCTGGTGATATTTCAAACAGGAAAGCTTTGGTTCCCATTGTATGCATAAACTTGCTTCGAAATGGTGAAGGAAAGTCCGAGTCCCTTTTGGTTCAACATTTCGAGGAGTCTATTAACTTTATTAGATCAACTGGGAAGCTTCCATATACTAGGGTCCATTTGATAAATTATGATTGGCATGCTAGTACAAAATTAAAAGGTGAACAGATGACAATTGAAGGGTTATGGAAACTCCTCAAAGCACCTACTGTATCCATAGGTATATCTGAAGGAGATTATTTGCCTTCACGACAACGAATAAATGATTGCAGAGGTGAAATTATCTACAATGATGATTTTGAGGGTGCATTCTGCTTAAGATCACATCAAAATGGGATAATACGTTTTAACTGTGCCGATTCTTTGGATAGGACCAATGCTGCTAGCTTTTTTGGCTGCCTCCAAGTATTCACGGAGCAATGTAGACGGCTGGGGATATCACTTGACAGTGATTTGGCATTTGGTTATCAGTCAATGAGTAATCAGTTTGGTGGATATACTGCTCCACTGCCACCTGGCTGGGAGAAGCGATCTGATGCAGTGACAGGAAAAACATATTATATTGATCATAATACTAGAACCACAACATGGATGCATCCATGTCCTGATAAACCATGGAAGAGATTTGATATGACATTTGAGGAGTTCAAGAGATCAACAATTTTATCTCCTGTATCTCAACTTTCTGACCTTTTTCTACTTGCTGGGGATATTCATGCTACTCTTTACACTGGGTCCAAAGCAATGCACAGCCAAATACTTAGCATATTCAATGAAGAAACAGGAAAGTTTAAACAGTTTTCTGCTGCCCAGAATGTGAAAATCACTTTGCAAAGAAGATATAAAAATGCAGTTGTGGATAGCTCTCGTCAGAAGCAATTAGAAATGTTTCTGGGATTGAGACTTTTCAAGCATCTTCCATCAATTTCCCTTCAACCTCTACATGTATGTGACTTGCCAACTGTCAAAGTTAACTGAGTGATACCTTTCTGTTTCTTTTTCATGCATCAAGTGCCTAGCAATTGCAGTTTCATAATTAATTTCATGTTAGTCACTGAATCACATCTTCTGTCTCTTTTATAAACTACTTACTTATATTGCATCTCTTTATCACTAATTTTGCTTATTCATGTCTGCTTCTGGTTGGGGGATATTACTGTTCACTATCAACATGTGATGCTTGTGGTTTTCAACAGAAACAGACAAGAAGTTATCAATAACTAAGCTATCTGATGATTGTAGGTTCCATCTCGACCGTCTGGTTTTGTTCTCAAACCAATTGCAAACTTATTTCCTATTTCTGGTGGTGAAGCAAATCTTCTGAGTTTCAAAAAAAAAGGCCTTGTCTGGGTATGTTAAACATTTTTCGCTGTTTTATCATGTATAAATATTTCAATAATATTTGCCTGAAATTTTACGTATCTCATCTTAATGAAGTATGTATCTTTTCCTTTCACAGATTTGTCCACAGCCTGCTGATGTAGTTGAAATCATTATTTATCTTGGTGAACCTTGCCATGTTTGTCAGCTTCTTCTCACAATATCCCACGGTGTAGATGATTCAACATATCCATCAAAGGTTGATGTAAGGACAGGGCGCCATTTAGATGGGCTTAAACTGGTCTTAGAGGTCTGTATTTGGCCCTCATTATTTCTCAACTTATAATATTCATGTGTGCATAATACTGCCGGAAGAGTTGATCATAGTCATCCTGTTTGAATAGGACTAAGTCATGTGCGCATTTATGTTGTGTGCAAAAACATAAAAGTTCTATAAGGAACAGTATGAAAGGCATCTTCAAATTAATTATTATTTTTACTGTTTAAAGTCTTGATGGATTACATAATGTAATATTCGCTTAGATATATATATATTTTTTTTGAATTTTATTAAGCAAAGATTTGTCTAGCTTAGTGACAGGCAGTTTATCGCGTTCTTTTATGGAGTTTATATGAATATAGTTCTGGCATCTGAACCTGTCTGACATCTTTTGGCAGGGTGCTTCTATACCACAATGTGCAAGTGGGACCAACCTATTGATACCGTTACCTGGGGCAATTAGTGCTGAAGACATGGCTATAACTGGGGCAAATTCTCGTCTTCATTCCCAAGATGCATCACCCTTCTCGTTACTGTATGATTTTGAGGAACTTGAGGGAGAGTGGGATTTCCTTAGTCGTGTAGTTGCGCTAACCTTTTATCCTACTGTTTCTGGAAGAAAACCATTAACGCTTGGTGAGGTATGAGTCGTGGCTTAACTAACTATAATATTCTATGGCATTTTTTTTTAATATTTCACGTGGGTTTCATGCTTGTCCTATTTTATCTTGTAATTAAAAATATCCTATATATCGCAAATACGATGCATAATTTAACTGAATAGGTGAGTTGATAATGAATCAATATAGCCTATTTAAATTCTTCATGTAACTTTTATACTTACAAAATCCTATTCTTCTCTTATTCTCTGTATAACATTAGTAAATTTGATTTAGATCCATTTGGAGGTATCTTGATTATGATGCATGTGTGGAGGTCGATTACTGAAGTTAAATTTTATCAGATCTTTATTCCCCCTTTTTAAATTGGGGGTGCTATAGTATCTTGTGCTTTTAATTCTAAAGTTTTCTAGCTAATTGATTTTTGGTGTTAATTTGGACTTTATGTGAGAATGAAAGCTTGTTCCTTTTCTAAATGGATTAAATGCTAACATATTTTCATTATTTCCCTTTTTCTATAAATCAATTTTCAATGTGAAACAGAAATATTTTCTAAAATGTCAATGCCTTGAAATTAAATTTTAAAATGTAATGTGTGCTCAAAAAGAAATGTAACTTTATTTTTATTCTCCTTCTACTTGTTACTACACCACTGGTTGAATGCTTGACTTGCATATTTGCTCTTTCCTTGCCTATTAATTTCAGTTAATTTTCTATTGCTCTACTTCTATTTCAATGTAAGCAATGTAAATTTGGGTTATGTAAATCTTTAATTGCTGCTATATGATGTGGTTTGGCATAGATTGAAATCCTTGGAGTTTCCCTTCCTTGGAGTGATGTACTTGCTAATGAAGGCCCTGGTACAAGATTAGTTGAGCATGTCAAGAAGTTTCAAGAAGAGCTTAATCCCTTTTTATCTGGTTCAGATACAAATCCATTTAACCCTTCATCACCAGAAAAAGTATCACCACCCAAGCAAGGAGGCACTTCTTCTGACCTTTTGTTTGACCTCCTGTCTGGGGAGGACCCACTTCCGCACCCACTTGCACAACCAGTTACTGACAATGTTGTCTACCAGGAAAGTGACCCGCTTGATTTCTTGGACCTAAGTATTGAAAACCATAGTGCCAAAAGTGATGGTGAAGTCTCATTAGAAGATGGCCGGCATTCAGATAGTAGTGCTGAACAATATTTGAAGTGCCTTAAAACTATTGCAGGGCCAAGTCTGGTATGTTATCAATTTGTTGATGTTTCTGTGAAGCATTATAAATTTTCTTAATACATTCTTTATCTCTTCAATGATGAATTTTCCATACATTAATTATTCCATTATTGCTGCTGTTGTCAAAGATAATTCAGAACGTAATATTTGAATTTAACTTTCATTCAAGATAGTTATTTGTGATCAAATACTGTACAGTTTCCACTAAAAGATATTATTAATATTATCCTAATTGCCCTTAACACTTGTATTTGCATCATAGTACGGTAACTTTTGTTTGGATCAAGTTTTTGGTGAATCTTGTACTTCAGTGGAATTTGGAGCAGCTTTTATTGGTTAATTTAGAGCTTTTGGAAAAGTAAGGAGGACAATATTTCGTAATGGTGTGCAGATTTTGCAGTTCTCTTGTGTATTTGGTTGGAGTGGAAAGTGAGTTAGGGTTTTATTGGTTGCAGTTCTTTTGGTTCTCTGTTTATGAGTTTTAGAGAACAGCTTCCCTATTAGATTTTCAGGGGGTTTGGATCGTTTTATTGCATTGGCAAGCTTGTTTGACTTTACTGTTTCCTTTTATTGCTTTGCTTAGTGGGAAGGAAATCTGATTCTACATTTTTTATTTGAAGCACTTTGAATCTGTCGGCAAGGTTATATAGACCAGGCATTTTCCGGTAGTCCCTCATTTTAGTCCACTTTCACTTTACTTTTCTCTATTGTATTGCCACAAAAGAGATTAAAGGGAATGGCGTTTTACAAATTTGGGATCAACAGAAGGTTTCTAAAATCTTTGGGACTAACATCTTTGGGACTAACATGCCTGAAACCCTCCTTGTCTTTCTCTCTTAAATAAAATAGAGAAAAATGGAATAAATGTCTTGTCACCTTCTAAGATATAGGTTGTGCTTATGGCTTCTCTCCATTACTTGTAGATATTTCAAGGGAGTTTGCTTTTTCATAGGGAGAGAGACTAGGCAGCCTTGATGCTTTATTGATTCCTTCTTTTCCTGTCTTGTATTGTCTTCATCACTTTTAGAGGATATTTTCTATTATGAGTCATACTTTCTCCATTTCTCCCTAATACAACTTCTTGATCAAAAAATGGGAAATTCCTATTAAGTCAAGCCAAACCAAGAGATGTTGGGGAGCTGGTTAATAGTGATTGGTTAATCAGTTGCTTAAACTGGATTCAATAGTTTTCATTCACCTGTTCCCTTGGGGTGGCTTAGCCGGGAACTTAATATATACTATATTATATTATAGCTCTTAAACAGAATAAATATTTGTTCTTTGTATCTTCAGTTTAAATCTATTCGTGAAGTATTTTGACTTATGCTTTGTAGCAAAGAAAAATCAACTTCATTGACGGCATGAAACTTGAAATTGAACGCCTTAAATTGAATCTTTCTGCTGCTGAAAGGGATAGAGCCTTGCTATCTGTTGGGAAGGATCCAGCAACCATAAATCCCAATGCACTGCTTGATGAAGCTTACATGGGAAGATTGTCTAAAGTTGCAAACAATCTTGCCCTGCTTGGAGAAGCTTCTCTTGAAGATAAACTTGTTGCTGCTATTGGTCTTGAGACTGTCGATGATAATCCAATTGATTTCTGGAATATTATCAGAGTTGAAGAAACCTGTTCGGGTGGCCAGTGTGAGGTGCGTGCTGAAATTAAAAAGGCAGTTCATTCATCTAGCACAATGTCATCTACTGATGATTCAGAATCTGTATTCTTGTGTTCTCGGTGTGAAAGAAAGGTTTGTAGAGTTTGCTGTGCTGGGAGGGGGGCACTTCTGCTTGTAGGATATAATTCTAGAGAGGCCATGAATTATAATGGTCCTTCAAGCCAAAGTGGCCAAGTTGATTTACCTGTAAATCGCTTATTAGCACGGGATAGTATAATTTGCAAACGGTGTTGCCAGGATATTGTGCTTCACGCATTGATTTTGGACTATGTGAGGGTTCTTATTAGCTTACGAAGAACAGAGCGAGTGGAAAAGGCTGCTTACAGTGCGTTGAAACAAATCATTGGATCAACTTGGGATTGTCTTCTAGAAAAGAATAGTGCCTCTTATAGCAAGTCTGCTGGAAAAGCAGTACGTTTGTTACTGAACGGATATGAGTCCCTTGCAGAATTTCCTTTTGGCAGCTTTTTACACCCGGTATATTTTTTAACTCAATATATTTTGATTTTGGTCCCTGCTGCATTTTGTTTTACTTTTTCATATGAATTATCAACCCACACACATAAAAAATGTGTTTAATCCATTATATATGACTTACATCAAAAGTTGAATCATGCATGGATTAGTTTAATACCAATTATCTAAATGATTTTAATATTTGATTGTTCATCGATGAATATGTTGTTGTAAATCATCTAATGTATTGCAAGAACTTGAGGTTTAAGTTTTTGTTCTAACAATCACACAAATTTTAAGCATGATATTGCAAGAATTGTCTATGCAATTTTTTGTAGCTGAATTTTTGTGTATGATTACACTATTTTGCTAGACCATTAGAGCTGAATTAATGATTTTCAAGTGATATATCCAGAAAATATAGTAAAAAATACAAGCCTTGTTTTCTAGAAAAGATTTAGAAAACTAGTCAATACCAGAGGAAACCTATTTATTGTTAATTATATTGGCAGCTTTCTGACATAAATATTGAATCATTTTCAGTGATTTAATCAACTTTGATTAACCTCTTGTTTGTACTAAATGCATGTTAAGTGAAGCATTATGGAATTAATTTTGTGTTGCCACTATGTAGCAAAAAGAAAAGATGTTTTACTACATCGGGAGCCAATATGATTCTGGTCCTTCAAATACTAGTCTAATCCTGCTTTTGTAATACATGCAATTGCAGGTTGAAGCAGCAGCAGATTCCGCTCCATTTTTGTCCTTGCTAGCTCCTTTAAATTCTGGTTTGCGGTTATCATATTGGAAAGCTCCATCTAGTACCTCCGCCATTGAATTTGGAATTGTCCTTAGTAGTATTTCTGATGTTAGTGGGGTTATATTGATTGTCAGCTCGTGTGGCTACTCTGTGGCTGACGCTCCAATTGTAAGTATCCATTGGTCATTTGCTTTGTGCTTTATTTTTCTTTTTATTGTTCATTGAGTTTAAAATTTAACTATAGGACTATGTTGGCACAGGTGCAAATTTGGGCAAGTAACAAAATACACAAGGAAGAAAGATCTTTAATGGGAAAGTGGGATCTGCAATCTATGATTAAAGCTTCCTCAGAATTATATGGACCTGAAAAGTCAGGAACAGAACAAAAAGTGCCTAGACATGTGAAGTTTCCCTTCAAGAATTCTGTTCGGTGCCGCATAATTTGGATAAGCTTACGCCTTAAGCGACCTGGTTCAAGTTCTATAAATATTGGAAATGATTTCAATCTGTTGTCTCTAGACGAGAACCCTTTTGCACAAGAAACTCGACGGGCCTCATTTGGAGGATCTGCTGAGAGCGAACCCTGTCTTCATGCCAAGAGGATTTTAGTGGTTGGAAGCTCCATTAGAAAGGAAGTTGATCTTAAGCCACAACAAAGCTCTGACCAGTTGGCCTTGACAGGGTGGTTGGAAAGAGCTCCACAGCTTAGTAGATTCAAGGTAAAATCTAAGCTATTTTGCTTAATCCTTTTTTGATAACCCATTTTGGTTTTGAAGTTATCTCCATCTCAAAAACATTGATTAACCTCTTATTTTCTTAGATTCCAATTGAGGCTGAAAGATTGATGGACAATGATCTTGTCCTTGAGCAGTATCTGTCTCCTGTTTCTCCCTTGCTTGCCGGATTTCGTCTAGACGCCTTTAGTGCAATCAAACCTCGGGTTACCCATTCACCTTTTTCAGATGTACATAGCAAAAATTTTCCTTCCCTTGTGGATGATAGATACATCACTCCAGCTGTATTGTATATTCAAGTATCTGTTCTCCAGGTATTTACTGGAACATTACTGCTTCTGTGACTTTTCTCTTGCCTAGGTATTTCCCTGGACGTTCCCCTTCCATGAAATGCTATGTTTTAGAAGAGCTCTGATTCTGTACCTAACTTTTTTCTGGCCATGGTTGTTTGGCACACCATAATATGCACAATGAATTTTAAAATAAGAAAAAGAGGCATCAAGGTTTAATTCACAAAGCATTTTTATTATATCCACGAAGTAGCAAAAGTTATATTCTTTTTCAAGCAGTAGAAAAATGGTTTATCCGTTGTTGTTTTTTAAGCTTGCACCTTCATAGGATTTTTTTCTTTCATAAGGGTAAAAAGTATAAAGTCTCAGTTTTATTGATATTCTTAATTCTATCTCCTACTTATTTCTATCATAAAATAACAATTCGAAATCTTAAGCACTTGTGAAGAAATATAAATGATTTTATGTTACATGTGGCTAGAGGCATAGAATGCATGGGTCCACGGTCCACTTACTCTATGCTAAATTTCATTTTTTGTTTAATTAGAAAGGGGCGATCAGGGTTGATTTGTAGACCTCTAGCTCATTAAAGACTTTGTTATGAACCGACTATTCCACAAACTTAAGCTGTTAATTAAAAGCATATATTTTTTATTACATATTTGACATCTACCCACCCCATGTTCAGAATTATTCCTATTTATTAATCTTTTATGGGTGAAACAACCGGACTACTTTGATGCTTGCAGGAACCAAATAGCATGGTCACCATTGGTCAGTACCGATTACCAGAGGTCAGAGCGGGAACGCCGATGTACTTTGATTTCTCTAGCCAGATACAAACGCGCAGAATTTCCTTCAAACTACTGGGAGACGTTGCAGCTTTGACAGATGACCCATCAGAACAAGATGATTCTGGCACTAGAATTTCTCCACTGGCAGTAGGGCTATCTTTATCTAATAGAATTAAGCTGTATTATTATGCTGATCCATATGACCTTGGAAAATGGGCTAGCCTTGGAGCAGTTTAATTACACGTCAGTAATGGTTATTACATTGATTGATTGTGTAAACATTTTCACATTATGTTGTATTATGGTTTGTAAAGCTCATCCAATTTGATGTATTAATATTATAGGATTATTCTATTAGGAAAATTATTTGTATTATTTCTAGCCGCTTGTGGCATAGCTTGGCAAGGTGGGACGGACTGGGGAGTTTTGATTGAAGTTGGGGTTGGAGGTTCGAGTTTAGTAGTTATTTAGTTTACCTAAAGGGTGAATTTCATTTTTTACTTATATTTTCAATGTATTTGTTTCTCTTAATATTTCTAAATTTTGGGCATGAGCACCTGAGCTAGTCTCTTGTTGCATAACAATTTTTTCTAAATTTTGTACATGTGCACCTGAGCTTGTTTCTTGTTGCAATATTCTACGTTGAAACGGGCAAGCTGACCTACTTTTGATCCTAAAGCATAATTTCTTCTTATCCTTGCTTTCCCTCATCTTCCCGATTCTCTAGAGGGGAGGATGGATCATGGATATGGTTATTGTTCTTTAACGAGCTCCATTTAATTATGGTTTGGCAGCATCATGGCATGGGCTTCGTTTTAATACACAAAAAACGTGATATAAATACCCAGCACAGGCCAAGGTGGGGACGGTCCACGGTGGACAAAGCGATGGAACCTTATCTGTTATGAGCCAATGGGTTTCCACTATCAGATCACATTCTTATTCAAACAACATCCACAATTTGTAACTGTCCGGGCTAACGTTACCGAGTATTTTCCTGTTTCGTGTAACGAGATAATAATCAATAAACAACTTGCCTACTCCGGATTGTTTCTGCCTTTTCAATTCAGAATAGGAGCCAATGGCTCATTTACTAACACCAACTCCTACAACTGCTGCAACACCTCTCTCCGCCAGAGCCCGGCAGAGCCCCCTCTATTCTTGGAAAAATGGTAACTTTTCAACGCCAAGAGTGTGCTGCGTTCGCCACCAATGTCAACAATCTCGCCCCTCTCACCTTGATCAAGTCCCTCCTCATCGTGATGACCACTCTCTGCGTCGCAGGTATCGCCTTCTATTACAAAGCTTTTAATAATTTAGAAGTTCTTAAAATAAAAAAAATCTTTTTACTTATAATGTCATTATTATTATTAATTAATTTATTATTGTTATTCTCTATCGAAATTAAATGAATAAATCGAATAAGGAAGTTAATAATGAATGTTGCAGTGTTATCACAATTATAATGTTGCATGTAGGACATTGATGGGGTTGAGTGGTGCGGTAATGTTGGGGTTGGGTTTGGTTGATGAGCAAAGTGCAAGTGGCGCTGCAAGGCGTCCACCGCCTCCACCGGCGGAGAAAAAGGATCCGAGTGTGAGTGGCGTTATGGCTAAAATATTGGCTAGCAAGAGGAGGAAAGAAGCCATGAAAGAAGAAGTTGCCAAGCTAAGAGAGAGAGGCAAGACCGTTAACAAAGAGGCACCGCCACCACCACCTCCTCCTCCTCCTCCTCCCGCCCCTGCACCTTAATAGTTCCCACATGTTTAACCTTTCTTTGTCACATACAAATGTTTAATGTTATTGTTGTATTACTATTATCGTTCAATTGAATAAGATCTTTTAGCCTCACAGAACGACTCAAATATTTTGCAAGAGCTCATATAACTATGCATAATGGTTGCGCTCTCAATGAACCAAGCCATGATGATTACCCCGCACCACTTCTTGAAGACGTTATAGAAGGCCACAGAAAGGTGAAAACTAGTTATAAGTTCATTATGAGAAAACTAAAAAACGTCTTCAACTTTATTCGTATAAGGTTTGTACTTTAATTAATTACACGTACCTCTTTCAAAATTTAAATATTTTTATTTAAATTTAACTATTCAACTTTACTTTAATTCTATACAACTCAATAAATGTTTATTTCTTATTAAGTAATAACAATTACATAGTATATAGTTATGGGTGTTATCATCAAGGATGAAACTATTCAACTTTACTTAAATTCTATCCAATACAATAAATATTTATTTTTTATTAACAATTATATTATCAACGATGAGACTATTTAACTTTACTTAAATTTTATACAATAAATAAATGTTTATTTCTTATTAATAATAATCTTGATAACAATGTTTTTTTTTTCGAGTAAATTGTAGTATATCAAACCTTTCGAAGTCTTTATTTTATTATTCTAATAATTTGTTGCACTTTTTCTCTATTGAATTATTTCTATCAAGTTCAAATTGCGTTTCGAGCACTTGCTTTCTAACGAGGACCGATTATCCATAATTATACTTCCTCGGCTTTTAAGTGGTAATGATTTTTTGGCCATTAAAGATCAAATGTTTCGGTTTAATGGTGAGATATGTGAGATGCTTGTCTTTGTGATGGTATTATTATGCTTTATAAGTGTTTCTAAAATTTGTCTTTTGTGTTTTAGAGATTACGGGGAGCTCTATTGATTACAAAAAGTTTCATGCCAAGTTTGACATCGCTCCCCTGAATGTGAAGGCTTCTTTGGTCAAGCTGATGCTCGAGGTCTCGCCGGCTCCTGCTTAGGAGCTATCTAAAAGGTTTTCTATGAAGGTTAATGTTGCTTCTACTCTAACTGAGCTTGGGCCTGTAATCATTAATTTTTCTGAAGAACCAACAAAGGCTCCTGATGCGACACTTCTTCGTAAGTGAGCAACTTCTTTTGACCTCCCTTTGATGTTTCTCTCCAGGATATTCCTCTGAGAATAGACTCATTATCATTGTGTCAAGATGGTCTCTTGCATTATGTGGACCACGTATCTACGAGTAACCAAGGGTTAACTCACTTTGGCACACCAAGATGTTTGCCAACAATGTGAAGATGAACACTAACTTTTCATCACTCTTTGATCAAGATCTGCTGAAAGCGGTTGGTGTAAGAATTAATGGTTGAGTTCAAGAGGGGGGGTGAATTGAACTTTAGAAAACTTTTTCGCAAAACACACTTTCTTTGGAAAGAATGATTTATCTTTATTCAATTCTTCTATAGGTAGATTTGATTTTAATCACAACAAGAATATAAACAGGAAATAAAAGAGATGAAAGCAGAAAATCAACACAAAAGTTTGTACTGGTTCACTCTTTACCAGAGCTACGTCCAGTTCTTGACAAATCTGCCAAGTTCCACTAATTCCAAGTGAAAATTACAACCAATAGATATTCACCAATCTACCCCAAGAACTATCTTACAAATCCACAAGATAGACTCTTGAAAACCTCCCAGTAACCAAATCCAGTTACTGTAACCAGTGTAGATCAAACACCCAATCTACACAATCACACTTTATACAAGAATATGAAAAGAAAAAACCTAGGATCTGCAGCTTTAACAAGTATAGATGTCCGTAAGCAATTCTAACTCGAACTTTCTCTCTTTGATGAACAACAATCTTGATCAAAGCACCTTATGATATGAAAAGATTTTGAATGCACAGAGAAAGTCATGGATATGATAGCTCTAAGATAGCTTTCAAATGTTTTCTCAAATTGTATATTTCAAAAGATAGATCAAACCTGTATTTATAGAATAAAAGAAGGAACCAGAATGTTTAAACTGATAAAAAGCTGATTCGAGTAGCAAATGACCGATCGAATAATAGTATGACGAGGTTAGAATCAGTTATGATCGATTAGAATAGCATTATGACCGATCAGAACTAGTTATGATCGATCAGAATCACATTATGATCGATCAGAATACTTTTCAATCGATTAAAACGATATTTCAATCGATTGATTTTATTTAAAACTTCATTCAATCGATTAATTCGTGTTTTCAATGGATTGAAGTAGCTTAGAAAAAAATGATAGCTCTCTGTTTCAACAGATTAAAAAACATTTCAACAGATTGAAAAATGCGAAACCTTTAATATTTGAAAAAAAATCATTAAGAACATTTTTAACCTGTTGATTCTGCGATTCAACCAATTGATATTTCGACTACAAATCCACACTTCTTATGTTAAGTGATTTTAACAGATTGAAAACTCTTTTTCAACAGATTGAAAAACTTAGTTTGTTCTTTTAATGCTTAAAGGTTAGTTTTTCATGCAGAAAAATGAGTTCAATGAGATGCATCATTTCAAGGCGCTTATCACAAGATCTATTGGCCTATCAAGAGATTAAGTTTTAAACTTCTAACCTATTCATCTACACACCCACAAACTAAACTATATCAACTCAATATGTCTTCGTCAAATCCAACAAGTGCTTCAGTTGGTCCTATGGTTGGCTAGACTTGGTCGAGGTGATGGTGACACATATTATGGCTATATGCCATCAGTGGGAGGGGCTAATGAAGGAGGCTTATAAGGGTCAAACCAAGGTGGATAAGGTGGAGAAGCATATGGTTGTCCTTCAACGCCAACTAGATGATAATGCAGTGACCTTGTCTAAGCAAAATAGAGCACCAAATCGTCTGATCATGTGCTAAATATGGAGAGGAAGTTGAAGGAGAGTGAGGTGTACAAGAGGAGGCAATGGGAGGAGGCGAATATGAAAAAGACCAAGCTGAGGGTGAAGTTGGATGAGGTCGAGAAGAGCAGGACTGAGGAGGTGGAGCATCGGGAGCGACAGAAGCAAGAGCTACACACGACTAAGACATAATTATTGAGCTTATATAAGGAGGGTTTCCAAAAGAATGTGTCTCAGGTGGCAATGTTTTGTCCTGGTATGGATATTTCAAATTTTGATATAGAGAAAGAAGTGCAAGATGGGAAACTGGTGTCAAAGTATACTAGTTCAAATCTCAGAACAATATGTTGTATATATAATTCTTCATCTATAACTTGGTTTAATATTTGCTAGAAAAAAATAATTTGTATATGTAATTATGCACTTTTGCATTTATGTTATTTGCGTACTCATGACTTAGCATAATATCTACATGTATAACTTGGCAGGAAATTTGGATATATACCTTGGTATAATATTTATGTACCACTCTGCATATTTATGCATATTTGTTTGCCTAGCTCGGTATATGTATAACTTGGTATAACATTTGCTCATACAAATATTCACATAACTCGATATATGTATAGCTTTTATGACTTTAGTCATGTTTTTGTGTGATTATGAAATAACGGACATTTGAATGATCTTGTCAATAATCGAGCTTATTTATTAGATGAAAAAAAATCAAAATCATAAGTTTCATAATAGTAAAATAAAATGAAGTTCATGAATAACGACTAGTTGTTATAGTTTTGGCCAAATAGGCATCTCGTATTTATTATCCCTTGGCTAGGTAGACCTTTCTCCTTCTCAATACACAAGTCTTTGCCTATCTTTTTTCTTCACTATTAGCTCAAATAGCTTTTATATCCTTCATTCGACTCGAGCTCAAATTTCAGTTTCATCCTCGGCTATTCATTATTTTTGCTTATATCTGCTTGGTATTCGAGTTTGTATTTGAAATTTAATATTTGTAAGATGAGTAAATCAATCAAGAATAATGGTAAATAGTATATATGAATCAAATGATACCAATCATTAGTCATTATTGTTATGTTGAATAACCTAAGTGACCTAAATAGGCTCTCGTGTTATGATATGCCAATTGACAACCTTAATAATTCGACTTCTAATGTTGTGAATCGACTTCTTTGGGCCTTCAACTATAATATGGTTTCAAGTGGGTTATGCATTCCATTTATGAGCTTCCTTCGAGTCTAACTTCACCGTTATCACCGAGCTATTATCTGTTGATGGGAACTTCATCATCATGTATGGGGTTGATATGACAACTCCTAATTGTTTCAGCGTTTGCCTTCTGATTATTAAGTTGTACGATATATTTGCATCTACAAATATGAATCACATTGAAAGGATACGTTGAATTGTGGTTTTGAAAGTAATTAATAGGTCTATGTAGACTCGGGTGTGAAATCATTTTCTTACAAAATCGAGTAAAGGGTTTGGGTATGGACATATCAGGTCGTGTGATACTCCTAATTTAAGGATTGTTGACAAATACAATACATCGGCTGAACTCCCTTGATTGATTACCATCTTTTTGACCTCGCAATTGGCTATTATGACTACTGACCACCAGGTCATCCTGTGTTGGGTCATACTTCTCATATAATCTTCTTTTGAAAAATTGATGCTAGGAAAGTATGGTACTAGGACACTGATTTGTACATGCTATATGACATGTAAGTGCTTTTTTTGTGTCAAGCTAGTTGGTCCTCCGCTATCAAAGCCTCATGCTATGGTGTTGATTATTCTTCGTGTTTCCACAACAGTATCTGGTGGAGGAGGTTAGGTTATGGGTTGGTTTCCTTCTTGTTGGTAATATCCTCGCGCACCATAACCCTTTCCGTTATTTGTCTAGACATACTAAGCTAACTTCCCAAATTGTATTAAATATTCGATGATGTCTCAAAGGTTGGAACAATCCTCCATGTTGTGGCCATAATTTTAATGGTAAGCACATCGTTTTATTCTATTTGTATTTAGTGTTGTAAAGGCTTGTTGAGGTAGGGTCAATAACTCCAAATTGCATGTTTCTCACAAGATGACTTCATGAGAGACATTTAGCGGTGTATAATTGTCATAGCAAGTCCTTCTAACTCGTTTAAGGTGATTTTTCTCAATTGCTTGGTCAAGTTCTTCTTCTCTTCTTTAGTGAAACTCAGTATTTTCTTCCAGTTGGATGTAGTTTGAGACTCTCGTTCTTAATTCTTTCATGTCTTTTGGCTTGTTGAGGTATAAGCTTTCCAACAATGGTCCAATTCAGAGTCTGGTCATCATAGTGTGCATTGCGATAGTCGATTCTAAGTCAGGTATGGTGAGACTAATAGCTGTGAACCTGTCTATGAACTTTGGCAATGGCTCATTTTCCCCTTACCTAATGCTTTTGAAGGTTGTTGAGTCAGTCATATGAGGTCGCTTATGGCAAACCGAGTTCTTAGCTTGCTCACGAGGTTCTCAAAGCATGAAACAAACACTTGCAAAATAATACCATTCAAATGCCACGCCCTTGAGTGTGGTTGGGAAGATTCGACATTTGAAAGAGTCTCTGTTTGAGTAAGCTTCCATATGTGTAAGACAAACTCATATGTGCTCCTTTGGTCGGAGGTCCTAGTGTAGGAGTCAAGTGGGGGTGCACACCAATTTTAGGGAAAAGGTTCCTTGAGTATACTTGGTACAAATGGGTGTACATATTTTGCACGAGTTTGTACTAGGATCTGAGTTGACATGGCAGACTCACCTTCTTTTTCATTTTTCTTTGACTCGATTTCTTTCTTAACAATAGTCTTTTACGGCTTGACATTAGTTTTGTGTGAACCAATGTTCATCTTTTGTGGCTATGCATTGGCTTTATGTGGCTTAGAGTGCTCGAAATTAGAGTAGGATTCTGCAGTGGCCACTACTTCACTATCATTTTGGGTTGTTTTCCTTTGTGTTGTTGGTTTCTTATTGACCTCGTCAATATGATCACACAGATCCTTTAGTTCTTCTTGTTGTTGCTTCTTATCTCAGGCAACTTTTTCCTGCAGGGTTCAAATTTCTGCATTAGTTTATTGTTGCAATTTGGCCATAAGTGCCTTGAGATTTTCAATGAGGGTGGTTTGTTCCATGATTTGTGGAAGGGAATGGGTGCCTTGCCATCTATTATCTAGGTGAATGTAGAAGAAGTTTTACCTCACTGTGGGCACCAAGTGTTAATTACCTAGATTCAAAAGGGTGTCCAAGCTCCTTGCGGGCTAGCCGATCAGGTGTAGACCAAATGTAGAAGTACTTGTTAGAGACTCTTTGATACTTAAGTAAGTATGTGAATGAGAATGAAGAGTGAGAAAAAAATGATGAAGTAAATGAGATACTAAACCTGCTTATATAAAAATTAATTACCATAATTATCCGAGATGTATGAGATATTTTATCCTCATTTATTAGTGGATATTTTGGGATAGTTTTCGAGTATCTTGGTACCCAAATATCTTGGGTATTGTCGAGATACTCAGATATTGGCGAGATATTTGGTTTGAGCATCTCAACAGTTATGGTACTTAGTTGTTTTGGGGTCGGTTCCCACATCGTTTAGAAGTTGAGGCTAAGAATAGTTTATATATACCTTCCTGTTTCTGGTGAAAATTTGATCGATTTCGATTAAATCAGAGACTTGGGTTCTAACCAAATTTCAACCACGTAGATTCTTTTTACTTAGGCTAGCAAACAGTTTTCAATCAAAAATGCATGAGAATCGAAAATCCCATAGTCTCGAAAAATGCAAACAACACAACCTAGTGTGCAGATTGACAATCGAAAGTACTATTTTTGGTATTTTTTATTAAGAAGTGTGAAGTAAAGAAAGCAGCAAAGGGTATCGAAATGAAAAGCAGTGCAGAATATTAAATTGTCGAGGAATGTAAATGACAATGAATTGAAATTGCAAAAATGTAAATGACGAAGAACTTAAACGCAAAATTTTAACTTGCATAAAGGTAAAATGACAAGGAATTGAAATTGCAGAAATATAAATGGCGAAGAACTTAAGCGCAGAATTTTAACTTGCATAAAGGTAAAATGACAAGGAATTGAAATTGCAGAAATGTAAATAACAGGAAATCGACATTGCAAGAACGGTAAATGTAGGAGAATTTAAGTACAGAATCTTATATTGCATTGAAGGAAATGACAAAAATTTAAAATACAGGAACTTAAATTGATGATTGTAAATAAGTTACCAGGGAAAGTAAAGAAAACGGTAAAAACAGTCAATGAGAATGGAAATCCAGATCACCAGAAACTTCATGATTCGTTGTTCTCCAGTAGACTTTTTACTTGTGTTTCTGTTGTCTCTGCCAATTTCCACTTCTCCTTCAAGCGTTGTTCTATTTATAGGCATCCTTCAATATAACCTCTTGAGAGCAGTTTAAAAACTGTCACCACGTTCCATGTGCACGATCCTCGATTTTTACCTTAGTTTACAGTTAAAAACCGCTTCCACGTTCCAGGTGCATTATAACCGTTTCTCGATTTCTAACCTTAGCTGCGATGTGAAAAGCCATTCTTCATGTTCTTTATGCATGATAATCGTTTCCCTCGATCTCGATTCCAGTTATCGAGTCCGATTTCCCTTAATCTTGACTTTACATTATACTTTATCATTACTTTCATCGATTTGTTTCTCTTTTTTCTGATTTTTGATTTCCATTCTCGATTTATATGTTTATACTATCTCGTGGTCACCGGGTGTCTTCCAACCATCTTTCCGATTTATCAACTTTTTAACTAATCATATGACCTTCGATTTTCTCTCTTCTGCTTTTCGATCCTTGTATCGATTTTTCACTAACACTTCCACTCTTAACTCACTGAGACACCTTTTAAGCACAAAATCGTGATGGATTAGAGTTCCAAAACGGATAATACCTCGAATATGAGAATTGACTTCTATGATGTTATCATAGCGTACATGAAGATAAAATATTCTCGTTCTTAGACAGAACATTGTGACCTAGAGCAGAGTCTCACCTCATTCTTATATACCCTTTAGTTATTGACTGATGATTGTGTTCTCATACACTTATGAGTCTTATTTTGCGTAAAAGTCGAGGTCAAGAGTAATTTAAGAAAAATTGTGATAAACTAATACTTTGGATATAGAAATTAACCCTAATAATATTATCTTAGTTAAGTTCAATTATTCTTGTTTAGACGAAATATTATATAAATTAAATATTTAAACAAAAAATAAATTTGTATTATATCATTTTAAGTAATTAAGACAGAAAATGAGAAAAATAAAAAAAATGATAATATGTAAAATAAAAAAATACAAATAAAAAACACTATTACTAAATACCTAATAAGTAAAACAAATTAGATAAATTAACCTATTTCATTAAATTAATATAATAATTTTCTTTTATGAAAATAAAATAATAAAAAATAATTTTAAATAAATGGAAAATAAATTCAATTAATCATATATGAATTCGTAAATTTTATGATATATTTAGTATATAATTTTTTTATTTATATTGAATAATAATATATTACTTAAATAAATATGTGGTTAAAACAATCTAGATTTTTATGCTAGAAATTTCTTTAATAAGGTAATTATATCAACTAATATTTTCTATTTTTAACTTTAAACTAATTATAATTAGTGATAAAAATTAAAAATCACACTAAAACAATATCATTGTTTAAAGCTAACAAATAATTTTTATGCAGTAGAGAGTAGATAGAGTCCATTACTAAAAACATATATAAGTTTTAATATATTATTCAAATGCATGGGTAATTTGTGAATTGCACTTTTTAAAAGTAAAATAAGCTTATATAAGTAAAGAGTTAGTTGGACCAAAGATGCAAAAAAATAATTTATTATCCTTTCATTTTAAGGAGTTAAATCAAAAAGCTTTATTTTATTTAAAAAGAAAATGTAAGATGTGGTACATATATAATTTAATTATGTTTATATTTTTATTCTTTAAAATTTTGAAATAAAATTATTTGTATTCTCTTTATATTAAAAAGATATTTTAATCCTCAAAATTCAAAAAATATATTTGTGAGCAGTAAATGTTAACCATGGTGAAACAACAGTCGTAAATAAACCTTATCAAACATTAATGTGGTCACCACTTTATACTATTCCTTTGAAATGTGAAGTTAGAATCATCCAAACATCAAAGGAAATGGAGGAGAAAAATCAATGTTAATGGTATTTTAATTTTGATTCAGATTTTTTTTTTTTAATTTCCTGGAATTTTAGGGTTGTAGGCCTAAATTAGAGAAAATGTGGAGTCATCTTCTATCTCAGATAAATGATAAAGAAAAGCTGTGTTCAGATAGGGTTTTAGTCTTGTGAAGAAGGTGAATTAGGCGAAAGGAATTAGATGAATTTGACCTAAGCTCAGTCTGCAGAATGACGCCCAAATGCTCTGTTCCGCCCCTTCAGTTTCAATCCTTGAACGGTCTCCGACAACTCGCCGAAACGCGTCGTTTCAAGGTATGGTTGTTGGACCAGTTCGGAGTCCTCCACGACGGAAAACAACCTTATCCCGCTGCTATTTCAACATGTAACTATTATCATTCCACAGTTTGTTTGTTTGTTTTTTTTCTTCTTCTCATATTCTATGTTGTGTCTTATATATTGTGTCTTTTGTTTTAATTTTTCTTAGTAGAAAATATAGCGAAGACGGGTGCTAAGATGGTGATCATAAGCAACTCCTCAAGACGATCATCAATCACCATTGAAAAAGTGAAGGGTCTTGGCTTTGATGCCTCTCTTTTTCTGGGGGCCATCACTAGTGGAGAACTAACTCACCAGTACTTACAAAGGTTGTTTCTTGTTTCTTTCCTTTTCAAACAGCATACTAAGTGACTTTTACACGCCTTTCACTGATTCATTCTTCACTTAATAACTTGCTGCATTAATTGCAATCATACTACAATTTTCTGTTACATGTATAACACTTGCCTTTTTTGCTGTCCATGACTCCATGTTCGATCATCAATTCCATGAACTCCATGACTATATGTATAATTTGTTGTTTTTTAAGCAGGAGAGATGATCCTTGGTTTGCAGCATTGGGGAGATCGTGTATTCATTTCACCTGGAATGGCCGGGGAGCAATATCCCTTGAGGTTGGTGGGGCAGCTTCAATTCTGATATTCACCGCATTCATATATTCAAATGCTACTTCCTAAATCATATTGTTTTATGCAACATAACTTGGCATTGTTCTTTGAGTAATTGTTTCTTGGAACCTGCTTTATAGTTGTATCAATCAGTCTGCTTAGAAGGGTTTCGTTTCTTCTTAACTGATTGAATGAGGAAATTGATTTGTTCTACGCATGAGATTACCAAGGTCTTTTTCATTTTTGTTCATATGAAAGTCAAATGGTTGTTTTCAATTACCAGTAATATGGAGAAGGTATATGCTATATAAAATTATTGAGTTACATAATGCGAAGATGATTGCAGAGAATAATATACGTCAGGGGCTCTAAAATCTTACAGCATATGAATAACTTCATCTAGGGCTTAGACTTGAAAGTTGTGGAGAATGTTGAAGAAGCTGAATTTGTTTTGGCTCATGGTACTGAAGCCTTGGGGAATGCTGATGGGAGTGCACGTTCAATGGAGCTTAAAGACCTTGAGAAGATATTGGAACTCTGTGCTGCCAAAGGAATTCCTATGGTTGTAGCCAATCCAGATTATGTAACTGTTGAAGCAAGAGACTTACGAGTGATGCCTGGTAAATTTGCTTTATCTTTTCCTTTCTCCTTTTAACCAAATCTAAAAGTTTGATGCTTAAATAGTAATTGCAAGGTACTATTTTCATTGAAAGTTGAAGCATAAGTTTTCTTTAGATGACATGCGTGCTAGTATCATGTTTCATATTTTTGCCTTCTCTTTATTCTTTCCAGTTTCACCTTATGTCAGTATTTCGTGTGCATATTTTAAACATCTAGGTACACTGGCAGCCAAATATGAAAAGCTTGGGGGTGAAGTAAAATGGATGGGCAAACCTGATGAGGTGATGAGGATGAATCTGTCTCCATGTGTATAATTTTTAATTCCATTTTGGTAGTTGTTTGCTTCTTAGTGTATAATCTATGCTTATACCTAGACTACTCAGATTTCACATACACAGTAATACAAATAAGAATACGTTTTCTGGACTTGTTAAGCGAGTGGTCAATTTATTCCCTGAAATCATTTGATACATAATTCAAGTGTCATCTTTCAAAATTATTAAGCAGCATGTTTAATACCTCAAGGATTTTCTAGTTAGCTGTATCTTATCTTATTATACAATTGTGCACATCGTAAATGCATTCTCAACAAGCAAAAGTAGCAACAAATTTATGTATATGATAGCATGGTTAAGATCTTTGTTGCGTATCATCTTCTGTAGTATTAGCATATGCATCCGTATTCCTTGCTCGACAGTCTTTGTAACAATTGAGATTTGTTAGATAATCTACAAGTCGGCCATGGCCATGGCTGGGACAGATGTCTCTGACTGTATTGCCGTGGGTGATTCATTCCATCATGATATTAAGGGTGCTAATGCTGCTGGAATCGAATCAGTTTTCATCACTGGTGGGATTCACGCTACTGAACTTGGACTCCGTGGTTTTGGAGAAGTTGCAGATTCATCTTCTGTGCAATCACTTGCTACCAAATATGAAGCTTATCCATCTTACGTGTTGCCAGCTTTCACATGGTAGAACATCTTCTCAGGGAATCTGAACCACTACAGTTATAATTGTAATTCTTTTGCTCTTTGTATGATATGAAATGTGACAAGACCCTTCATGTTACATTTATAGAACTTGGAAGCTAAGCCAAGTTTTCTCCATCATCCATGGTAATGTTTATATGCAGGAGCTGCTTGATATCTCACCGGAGTTCAAAGCAAACATCATTTACAACATTGAATGCAATATTGGAATTCCGTAAAGGATTTTTTTGTTTTATTTTGTTTTTCATAAGTAGAGGTATCCTTGAAGTCATCCTACTTGAAACAAGACCGAACACTAAATAGTGCATCTTTTCTAGTAGCGGTCAGAACTTTGGTTTGCCACGATATCCAATATTTTTGTTGTTTATTTTTCTATAGATGTCTCGCAATGTTAAATTTAGTTTCAATTAAAAATTTGTAACTCTTTAGTCTTTACATATTAACAAAATTGCGTTTTCTTTTATTTTCTATTAAGGGACTAAAATAAAATTTATTTTATCCTTTTCCAAGACGATTGACTTTATAAGAAGTATTTATTTAAACGATAAAATTAAAAGTACTTTTGAAGTTTAATAGTCTTACATTTATTTTTGACCCCTGAATGAGATAACTATTGACCCCAATATGATGAAAAAATGAAGTGGGTGGTGTTTTTTTCCCACTCCAAGGGCGTTGGATTCCATGTTTCAGAATTCAGACACTCCTCCAATCGGTTATATTATAGTCACCTAGGATGTTAATTTCTTCTCCACCTCTATAATAAATATAAAAATTGTCTTTCAGGATAGTTTTTATCTGTCCTGTCACACTTACATATACAAATACTTTCATTCAAACATAATTTTCAGATTAAAAATTTATTATATTTTGAAAAATATAACATGTTATGCATAATAAAAACATCGTAAAAAACTATTTGATTTTTAGGTTGTTAAATTTTGAATACAGTTTTAAAAAATACAAATGCGTTCCAAATAAAACTAATTCGGACTAGATTATATTTTCTGATAATATATTTCGGATTCAATAATATATAATTTATTTTTAGATTATGCTTTCTGAAAATATATTTTAAAAATTTTCTGAAAACTTTTCAAAAAGACTAATCCTAATTTTTTTAAAAGAATAAACTTTCCAGAACCTATTTATATTAAAGATATTATTATCATTTTAGATAAATATGAAAATACAGAAAAAAAGTATAAAAATCCATGAAAAAACAGCCTTAAGAAGGACTTTATTGACAGGCAAAAACATGATGTAATTTGCTTTTAAATTTCCGAATATTAAAAAAAAAACCATAAATAGATTTCAAAATACGACTTAAAAAAAAAGTCAATATTTTAAAACATTACTTATTTTAATTTTTAATACTAAAGTCGTATTTCATTTTAGTTTGTTTTTTTTTACGTTATAAAGATTTTGTTTTTTTAGTGAAGTTGTATATACTTATATATACGACTTTCACTTATTTTTTATATTTTTTTAATTTTTATATAGTTTTATATTATTATTATTAATTATTGTAAATAATAATTATTATTATAATATTCACAGTTTATATTATTAAAAATAATTATAATAATAAATAAGTATTATATTATTAATTTAAGTATTTATTGTTATAATTATAATTATATTTCTTATTTTTATTATTACACAATTATACAATTATAAAATATAATATTATTATACTAATAATAATAAAATTAATAAATATAATAATAATAATTATTATTATTACTATTACAATAATATTGTTAATAATTATTATAATCATTAATATTATTAATTTTATTATTATTATTATTATTTTAAATGATAATAAGTATAATACTAATGATTTTAGTAAATAATAAAATTAATAAACATAACAACAGATTTATAATTGTATAATAATAAAAAATAATAATATTAATAATTATAATTATTTATTATTATAATTATTATTGATAATATAAATTGTGTGTAATATTATTATCATAATAATAATAATAATTTCTAATATAAAATATGACTTTTTCTTTTCGAAGTTATATGTTAAAACACGATTTACCAATTTACGAATTTTTGAGAAATTTAAAAGCAAATTATACCACTTTGGTGTTTTTGTCTTATTGGCTTGTTCTTTTTATATTCCTTTCTTGTTTAATTATCTGGCTTAAGAAATGAATAATAATTTGATTATATTTTATTATAACTTGTTTCTAAATTAACACTAATATTATGTTTGGAAGATGAATTTGTAAAGAATAATTTATTTTAATAGAAATTTTGGAATATTTTATTATAAAATAAGTTGGTTGGATAGAAAAAAAAATTGAAATTACATCATGACTATAATTTAATTACTTAAAATTTAAATTTAAGATTTTCAAATTTTTATATATTTTTTTTCATTTTTAAACTTATGTTTCGTATCTTATATTTGATTTAGTCTTAATTAGAACACTGATTTCAACCTGGGTAGGTTAACCATCTGAACAATCTAGTTTAGCTTTATCTGCCCAAAATAGCCTGGTGTGACTCAATATGTGTCTTAAATGGCCTAGTCTCGATTCAATTTATTTTAATATAATCTCACTTCAGCTAATATATTTTGTTTTGTCCTTCCTTAATGGTTGGGTATTTTTTAGGACACGAGTAACCGTACAATAAAATGTAATAATAAATAAATATAAAATATGATAAATTTGTAATGATAAAGATAAAATAAATAAATAAACAGGATTAATAACTAATTAAAAATAAATAAATAAAATAAATATGATAAATGCATAACTGAAAATAATCTAAATATAAAGAAATAAATAAAATCAAGTTATGATCACCTTATTTAATAATTATAATTAAAAATAAAATAAATAAAATAATAAATATTTTTACATCTATCTTAATAATTAGAGATAATATCTCAAAATTTTTGTTTATATATTTTTCTCTTTATCTTTTTTCTCTCTCCCTCTCTTTTATCTTTCTTTTTCTTTCTCTTTTCTAATAAAGTTTTAATTATTTTAATTAATTAATTATTATTAATAATAATTTTTTCATTTATTTTTAGTAAGAATTTAACAATAATTTTTTTATTATTATAAAAATATTTAAATATCCAAAATATTATCACGTAATATATTATATTTAAAAAATTTTACATGATATATTTTTAGTATTACAATTTCAACCAAGTTTGAACTTACAAATATAAATTTTACTTTTCTTATTCTATTTTAATCAAATTCAATCCATCTCATCGAAATTAGGATTTACCTTACTAACATTTTGTCTTTATTCAACTCGTCATTATTTACTATAATCCGATTTAACCCATGTTGACGAAGATAAATATTGAGAATTAGCTTAATTGACAGAATTAGTAATAATAAAGTTTATATTCAATAATAATTAAAATATTTTATTTAAACAATAAAGTAAAATTGAATAAATTTAAATAGATTTATCTAAACAAATTATTTGAAAAAAAATTAAAAATAATTTAAATTTAATATATTCAAATTTTTAGAAATTACAAAAAATTTAACTGATTTGTAGTCTATTAATCAATGTTGGTTTTTAAAATTGTGAATTATAGCTGAGATGATGATGAATAAATCTATCCATTAATTTAATAATGCGCATTTTGAATGATGGTGCGCGAATGTTTTAAACGTTTTATTATAAATTATAAAAACTGTACAAGTTAGGATGACTCCGTCTGGTCCAACATTATGATTTGGTTCGGACCAATTTAGGTTTTGAAAGTACACGATGTATTATATATTTCTTTTATAAAAAATATTGATAATACTTTTATATTTAGCATATGAATAACATGATATATTTATAATATTATTTAATTTAAAATATTGTGTAAAATACATCATTACATAAGTTTTGTGCTTTTTTTAATGAGTTAATTAAAATTTTTAAAACCAATGTATTAGAATAAAATTCAAATTTAATTTGTTATGTTGTGAATTTTATTAAATTATTAACTGCTTGAAAATAAACGTAAATTACTACGTTTATTTTATTTTTTCATATTTCAGTTTTAAAAATACTCACTTGTATTTTTTTATTAACTTTTTCAATTGTTGGCCGCCACAAGCTCACCAAATATACATTCCTCGCGCTTTTATCACCACACTTATATATTCTACTTATCTAAAAAATAATACATTTAATAAGTCGAATGGGATTTTTTTGCATTACCATCTTTTTTTACTCAAAAAATATATACATATAATTTGTTTGATGAAATTTTATTCATAAAAATACAATTGGGCTACTCTAACTTGAACCGAAAGTTAATTTTGGTTATGTATGTATATAATTCGTTGATTATAAATTCATTGTCTTATTAATATAAAAAAATTAATGTCATGTGTATGTCATATGTTATCAAACAGAAAAATATGACAAATCTAATTACTCCTATTGAATAAATAACTAAAGTGTTATAAAAAACAACGGAACCATCTTAGTATTTTAAAATAGATTCAAAAAGAAAAAATAAAGTTGGTTATTGTATTGTTTATTCTTTAAGGATTCGGACCTAATTTCTTGTCGAAATCTTAAAAATTAATATTTTGAAAATATATGACTATCACCATAAATAATAAGCGAATATAAACTCATTTTGAGATATATATGAAAATTATCTTAAAATATTTGTTAATAAATAAAAATAAAATATCTCATATGTCTAAAATATAGTTATGATAGCTCACTTTTATGTAAATAGATTTAGTATCTTATTTATTTTATTCATTTATATCTTATCTTTATTCTTAGTCACATATTACTTAAGAATCGAATAGTCTTTTACAGCTATCCTTCCATTTGGTTCATACCTGCTTGGTTTGACGGGAAATAGCTCAGACACTCTCTTCAAATATAGGTAACAACACTTAGTCTCACTATGGGGTAAAGTAAAACTTCTCCCACATTCACTTGGAGATTTTTCGCACATCATGGAACCAGTTGCACTTATTGAAAGCCCCAAGGCCCACATGGTCGTTCTACAACAACAAACTAACAAGGAAATTTGATCCTGATGAGAAAAGGTTGATCGAGATTGGAAATAACAAGAAGAACTGAAGGCCATACGTGACCAAATCAATGAAATTATCAAGAAATCGATAGGGCAAAAGAACACACCACCAAACGAAGAAAACATGATGGCTACGACAGAATCTTGCTCTCATTCTAAGAACC